GGCCTGACAATAGTCAAGGGGAACTGGGAGCAGATTAAGGTGTTTGGCCGGCTCATCAGGTGAGACATCTCGGCCATTACCAACCACCCATCCTTCTGATTATGGAGGTGATGATAGTCCATTTGCAACTCCACACTATCTGCCTGGCTCTGGAGTTTGGGGATTTTCCAGCCTTCCAGGTGACCTGGGCATGACCTCTTCGCCATGCCATGGAGGCACATGGAGCAGGAACATGGAGTCCATTACAGAGTCCATCTGGGGCCATGTGGAATTCATACACATCAAAATTCAGAAAAATGCACTATCGGTAACACTATGATGGGTGGCTTAGGGAGCTGAGTATATTTAGCCTGGAGAAGAGAAAGTTAAAAATGATATCAATCTTTAAATATTTGAAAGGATGTCATGTTGAGGATGGAGCAAGCTTATTTTCTGCTGCTCCAGACAATATGTCATGGAGCAATGGATTCAAGCTACATGAAAAGAGATTCCACCTCAACATTAGGAGGAACATCCTGACAGTAAGAGCTTTTCGACAATGGAAGGCACAAAGTGTGGTGGAGTCTCTTTCTTTGGAGGTTTTTAAACAGAGGCTGGATGGCCATCTGTTGGGGGTGCTTTGATTGTGTATTTCTTTGATTATGTATTCCATTATGTAGTATTCTGAATGCCCCTGATGGCACCTTCTAACTCTAGGCTTCTATGAACCTCTAAAGAGCCAGAGAAATCCCACCTGTGCTTTAGACCAAAAGCTAGACAGCCAATCCACTTTCCCTTGGTGTCATCCAGTCATTTCTCCTCTTCCACCTGCAGTGGATGACATGCTGGCCACATAATGGTCTCGGAATTGATACAATTGGCCCTCCATATCCACAGATTTTTTTAAATCCATGGATTCAACTTTCCACAGCTTGAAAATATTCCAAAACATTACAAATTCTAAAAAGTAAATTTTGATTTTGCCATTTTTTATAAGTGACGTCATTTGACTATGCCATTGTATTTAAAGGGTCTTGAACATCCACACATTTTGGTATCCATGAGGGATCCTTGAACCAAACCACGGCGGATACCTAGAACCCACCATAATAGCTAACTGTACTTGTAGCATTTTAATGCTGGGTTTCCTGAGGCTCCCATCTGTTGTAAGGAGCTACGCTAAAAACACATTTTAGTTCCCTAATTTTTTTTTTAATTCACATGTTCATTCTGTGGAAGGGGAGATGCTTGAATGGCATCCAGAGCTTCCAACCACCTTATACAGTAGGTCAGGGGTAAGCAACCTAAGGCCTGGGGGCTGGATGCAGCCCCCCGAGGCTTTTGGACCGGCCCCAAGCCGGTCCTGCCGCCACCACCCCCTGCCGCCGCCTGCCATGATGATATTGATTATTGTTGTTATTACTTGTTCTTGGGGTTTTCTTGGCAAAATCTCCACAGGGGTTTTGCCATGGCTTTTCTGGGGCTGAGAGAGTGTGCATGCATATTTTTTTTAAAAAAAAAAAAATATTTATTTATTTATTTATTTATTTTTGGTGCTTCGGCCCCCCCAATTGTCTGAGGGACAGCAACCTGGCCCCCGGCTCAAAAAGGTTGCCTACCCCTGCAGTAGGTCTTTGGTATCTGCTGGATTTCGGTTCCAGGATCCCACTGTGGATACCAAACTCTGTGGATGCTGAAATCCCATTACGTTCAATGGGATAGTGAAATGGTATCCCTTACATAAAATGCCAAAATCAAGTTTCCTTTGTATTTTATGTTCAAGCCATGCATACTTAAATTCATGGATAAAGAATCCGTGGAAATGGAGGGCCAATTGTATGTATTCCAGTCTCAGTTATGCCTCATTCAGCCTTGCTAGATTTATAGCTAAGAAGTCAGCATTTTATCTTAATGGGACTTGATTCTCTCCATACGCCTTTGACAGCTTGCATAAGATAAATCGAAGCATTAAACTGAATAGCCCATAAAAGTCATCCATCATATGAAGTGGTTTTCTGCTGAGCCAGATGCTCAAAGTATGCAGTTCAAGTTCAGCAGTGATACTTTCAATATCCTGGGCAGAGGATGATCAGCTTGTAGCCTTGGTGTCTGGCATTCCTTTTGAACAGAAAATGTCAAAGAGATGAAATCTGGGATTTTGTACCAGTGTGTTCTAAAAGCTTGTTGATAACAGCAAGGGAAATGAGGCTACAGCAGTTTTCCCTCAACCAATGTTACTAGGCCCATCAACCACTTTTTGAATTTTTTAAAAAGCCTTCTCCCCTTGAAAAATGAGGAAAACAGATTATGGAATATTTTCTTTTAGAGTAGTGAATACACTGTTTAAGACAAAGCACTGACAAATTTACATCCCCTGAACCATTTCTAAAAACTATATAAAAGGAAGAATTTTATGTACTCGGTGAATAATTTTATGATAGCTACCTGCTGTTACTTTAACTGGAGATCATGCACTGAGCAGGGGCTGGACTTGATGACCCATGAGACCTCTTCCAACTCTACAATTCTGTGATTCTGCATAAGAATTTTATCACACCAGCCTGCTATCCTATGGCAATCACACTAGTTTAAGAGTGGAAACATACCAGTTTGGCATAATTTCTTATCACACTTTTCCCCACGGTAGCATTTTGTTGATTTACAGTTACATGATCTGTTATCTGCACTGTCAAAAGCTACCTTCTGGAAGAAAGGAAGGGAGCGAACAATCGGAGCTGCCAATCACCTTCCAAAGCTGGCTGCTGTGCGAATGTGCACACAGCATCTAACTTTGTGAAGATGTTGGCCACCATGATTGCTGCTCCTCCCCTCTGCCAAAGCATGGGACTGCTTTGTACACATTCACACAGCAGCCCCGGGCTTCAGCAATGTGCACACAGCAGCCAGCTTCAGGAACGTGTTGGAGGCTGAGATCACTGTGAAGAGGAGGGGAGGAGAGGAGCAGAATAACCCCCACTCACATCATGAGAGTGACTGAGAAGTGGAACTGCAGCAGAAGGGACCTATTGCAAAAAGACAGTCAAGAGGTTTTACCCATCAATGAAAAGTTGCACAACACAATTCAGAAAGGATGTTGAGAAGCTGGAGTGTGTCCAGAGGAGGGCAACCAAAATGGTGAAGGGTCTGGAAACCATGCGTTATGTAGGGAGACTTAGGGAGCTGGGTATGTTCAGCCTGGAGAAGAGACAGTTGCCATGTTTTAAGTATTTGAAGGGAAGTCATATTGAGGATGGAGCAAGCTTGTTTTCTGCTGCTCCAGAGACTAGGACCCAGAGCAGTGGATGCAAGCTAAAGGAAAAGAGATCCCACCTAAACATTAGGAGGAATTTCCTGACAGTATGAGCTGTTCAACAGTGAAACATACTCCCTCTGAGTCTGGAAGAGTCACCTTCTTTGGAATTTTTTAAACAGTGGTTGGATGGCCATCTGTCGGGAGTGCTTTGATTGTGAGTTCCTGCATGATGAGTTTGGACTGGATGGCCCTTGATCATCTCTTTCAACTCTATGATTCCATGATTCTAACAGCCACAAAGGAAATGCAAGGGGAAGCAGCAGGACTGACATGACGTTGCATGATAGTTTTATCCTGTTAAAATTCCGCTTGTATTGCCTCGTATGCAATTCTTGGGCTTCAGACCAAAGAAGTTCTGTAATAGTTCAAGTGCTCTTAAAGTTCAGGACCTTGTAGCAATATGAGAAAAGTTTATTTAAAGGAAGTTAATTTGTAATTATATTCAGAATAAACTGTACTTTTAACGTATCAAAACCAATAATTTTATGTGAAACCAAGTTATATGTAATACATTTTAAGTTCCTAAAGTAATAAAAAGAGACCTTCTATCTATAAAGGGGTCTAATATTGTATGTTATTTTAATCTAAGATGTTTTAATTGTGTTTGGTTTAATACTTTTTTAAGGGGTGGGGGGGTATTGGGTCTTTTTGGATTTATATTGCATGTATTTTTAATTGTTGTTAGCCACCCCAATTGTGCACAGAGGGGCAAGGTACAATTATTATTATTATTATTATTATTATTAATGCCATTTTTCAATTTTTCCTAAACTTTCAGTTTTTAACAAAAATTTGTAGAGGGGGAGGCAGAACAAGTGATCCCTAAATTGCTAGAAATTTTACTTCTGTAAATCCACCACATCCAGGTCAGGTAATACTAGGTTGGAGTGTGAAAAAGGTCTGTCTTGCTGACTGTGGAAATTGCACTCTCCCCTTTCTAATGCAGGAAGGACACGCAGGCACACTCAAGACCCTTCTCTTCCTCGGTGCTGATGTGAACGCTAAGGATGGGAAAAATCGAACAGGTAACTTTCTCTTTCTTTCTCTCCTATAATTATACTACAGCAGGGATTTTTTGAAATCCACAGTAGTGGAAATGGGTGGTCCCTTTCACACTGCACAATTCTAGCACTTTGAGCCCAGTCATGCCTCCTTCCTGTGGAATTCTGGGATTTATAGTTATGTAAGGTATTTAGAATTCTCAGCCACAGAGCTCTCTAGTGCTTCCAGAAACCACAAATAACAGGATTCATTAGGATTCAGTCACAACTATTCAAGAGAGATCAAAGCACTATAGTTGTATATTATGAAAAGACTTGTGTCTTAACAAACTTAAAATATTTCAGTCTCTTGGATCCTAATTTGTTCCTCTGCTTATATAAAGCAAGGTGGGATTTTTACCAAGATATCCTCCATCTTGAACTCCTTCAGAGATATATCCCAGGCTTCCCAACACAGAGGAGCAGATAAAAAAAATTGCAGAGGAAAGGAGGGAATCTGTTCCATCGTTCATGGAATTGCAGTTAGTATCCAAGCCCAAACATGTTTCTCTTGATTCTTCTTGTTCTGTGCCTCCAAGTCATTTCCAACTTATGCTGTCCCCAAGGCGATCATGGGGTTTTCTTGGCAAGATTTCAGAGGAGGTTAGCCATTGCCTCCCCTGAGGCTGAGAGCACGTGATTTTCCCTAGCTCACCCATTGGGTTTCATGACCGAACTGGGAATTGAACCCTGGTCTCCAGAGTTGTAGTCCAACACTTATACCGTTACACCATACCGATTCTAGCATTTGGTAAAAACAACTTTTTCAGAGGGGTGGAGTGGGCAAGGGTGTGAGTATGTTTGTGTGTGTGTGATTTCAGAAAAGGATTTTGCACCGTCACCAATTTGACATCTCTTGTGATTTTGCCAAGTTTATTGTTCCAAATAGCGCATCACTCCATGGAACTAGCATATCTTCCAGCTGTCTTGATTTGGCAGGGACAATATGAATAAATCCTCTATCATCCCACTTATTTGCCTGCTTTTAAAATGTCTCAGGTTCTCTCTCCTCCCAATTTCCCCTTTTGTCCTTTACTTTAATTGCTGCAAATTAAAAGTGCAAAAGTAGTTTGCACTCAGTTAATTCAGTAGATGGGAGAGGAAGGAGAAGAATGTTGCCCTACTTGGTAGAACCATGCCAAGCCAAGCTGCTAAAACTTCTCCTAGTTTATGTGTTCTTTCTCATTAATATATATATATATTTGCCATCTTGACTGTATTCGGATGTTGCCTGGCCACACATGTCTCAGCTTTCATCTTTGAAATCTTGCAGGATTTATTTATGAGCTCATTAGAGCTCTAATATCCTCTGGAGAGACCCTCCTATCTGTCCCACCATCTTCTCAGGCTTGTTTGGTTGGAACAAAGGAGAGGGCCTTCTTGCTCTGGATGCTCCCAGATTTTGGAACTCCCTCCCTAGGGAAACCAGAATAGCCCTCTCCTTGTTTTCCTTCCATCAGCAAGTTAAGACATTTTTATGCTGTCAGGTTTTTGAAAACTGGCTGGGGTGGGCTTTTAATGTTGTGTGGGGTTGTATTAAGGTTTATATATTGTGATTTAATTAATTTTAATGTTTTAATGTTTTATTAATTGCTTAATTGGTTGTAATTTTTTATATTAAAGTTTTTATTGATGCTTTTGTATAGTTTTAATCTGTGTTGTTCTTAAATATGTTCTTAGCTGCCTAGAGTCACATTATTGAGAGAAGGTTGTGATATAATTGAATAAAATAACAGCAACAACCATAACAACAGAAACAATAATCATACTTCTTTTATTGAACAAATAATCAATAAAGTTGATGCCAGGTATATTTCAACTTTAGGATCCTTTCACAGTTTATAGAAGTATGATTCCACTTTAAATGCCATGGTTCCATCTTAGTGTAAGAAGAACTTGAACCTGGGGAATTGCTAAAAGTTCAAGTCTCCAATGGGAATGTTTATCCTATGTTTATGGAGGTGGCTAGGGAATAAACTGATAAAGACAAAGCTTTCTCAATGAGTCTGTGATTTATTTGGGGATTCAAACATACAAAGACACTCTTAACATACACTCAAGCACACAGGAACTCAGGAAAAAAGTAGTTAGCTTGGATAGGAAACAGAAGGCTTTCTAATGGTGATAATTACCTGATGGAGTTTGCTCCAATGATGAATGAAGATGGATAGACTCAACTGTTTATGAAAGAGAAATGACTACGGGAAGAGGGAAAGAGAAATGACAGAGAAATGACAATGGGAAAGCAAGAGACTAGGACCTGAAACAATGGATGCAAGCTGCAAGAAAAGAGATTCCACCTCAACATTAGGAGGAACTTCCTGACAGTAAGGACAGTTCGACAGTGGAACACACTCCCTCGGAGAGTAGTGGAGTCTCCTTCCTTGGAGGTCTTTAACCAGAGGCTGGATGGCCATCTGTCGGGGATGCTTTGATTGGGAGTTCCTGCATGGCAGGGGGTTGGACTGGATGGCCCTTGTGGTCTCTTCCAACTCTATGATTCTATGATTCTAAGAGCTGGGACCCAAGTCCGAGTTCACACTGGTGCAGAGTCATCATGAAATCTAACCAGACCCAATGTGCCTGAGATTTTGTGAATCGTTTATACCCTTAAACCTAGCCTGAGGCAGAGAGTTGCTATTGTATATCAAAAGGATTCTGGATTGATATTCTTTGAAGTAGACAATTCCCAAAGAGGGGAGATGGGGTGTTAATGTTATCTCACCTTCAGCCTGACACATCCTGGCTGGTTCTCATAAATCTCCTAGGTGCGAATGTCCTGCTTTGCAGCTCCTAACCCTAGCCTTTTGATCTGCTAATTCACTGTAGAGGCAGACGTGACCACTCAGGTGTCTACGTGAGGTCTTTGCTTTGGATCTATGGTGGTTGGGCTTTTCCATTTTAGGGCTATGACAAGAGACCCACAAAAGGGAGCTTTATATTAAAGCAGTGTTTATAAAATTAGGGAATCCTGGGATTTGCAGTTTAATCAGGGGCACTTAGAATTCTCAGAGAACTCTACTGATTCATCAAACTACAAATCTCAGTAAGGTGAGGCCATTGCAGTTAAACTGGAATCTAAGTGCTGTAATTATGTAGCATGAAAAGGGTCTTAGTTTGTTGTTTTTCTGCTTCTTCCCACAGCCCTGCATATGGCAAGCGCTGGGCAGCATACAGCATGTGTGCAAATCCTCCTCCAGGCAGGATTGCAAGATTCACCAGACATCACTGGAACTCACGCACGGCAGCTTGCAAGGAAGTCAAGCCTCCTCCAGCTTTTCGGGGAAACAGACATTACTGTGTGAAAACTAATTTTCTGGCAAAGAACAGGATCCTTGCTTTCCAGTGTCCTACCAGTTTTACTGCCTAGCAGGACTACATAGCAGTCAGTTTACAGGGAAACTCATTGTGCACCCTAAGACAAATGCATTGTGGGACATTTACACTTGCAATGGCCAGCCTGGAAGTCTGGTTGTGCATAAGATCTATACAGTACTAATCTTGATTATTTGAAAATTTTTACTGGAGCAAACACTCAATTTCAACAGGTCTCTTTTACCAAACTGATGATGGTATCCAGCTTGGATCCCATGCCAGGAGAGAGGTGAGTCAATTACTTTTTCATTAAAGCAAGGATGGTAAACAGTGGTGAGTCCAGGGGCCCATCTTCTGCTCCTGGAACCCCCTGGTTGCACAGAATGCCAAACATGCTAGAAAGAAAATGTATTTGGTCCAATGCTGATTTTTGAGACTTCTAAGAAAGTCCAGTCTTGAGTCCCCATTCCTGTGATAGCAGTGGGACTGAGACAAGGGCCTCTCAAGGAATTCTGGGAGTTGCAACATCTGGAGGGACTTGTGATTCCCTGCCTGGCTCTTACAGTGAGCCACGAGGCCAGTTCCAAGAATTCCTTGCATGGGAGCTGAAGTGCTGTAGCAGTGCTTCCTTGTCTGAGTACTACGAGCAGATCTTGGAACCATTACTTTTTTGGTCTGCATCTCTCAGACTCTCCCATTTCCTATGCTGTCTCAAAGATTCTGGAAGTTGCAGTCCAGACAAGTAATGTTTCCAAGCTCCAGAAGCTCTGAATGGGAATGAGCAGGACTAGGCCCTAGCATTATTCTTTGCTTGAAGAGAATTGTAGAATCATAGTTGGAAGAGACTCCAAGGGCCATCCAGTCAGTCCCCCTGCTGTGCAAGAACACACAGTCAAAGCACCCCTGACAGATGGCCATCCAGCCCTGTTTTAAAACCTCCAAAGAAGGAGACTCCGCCACTCTCCGAGGGAGTGTGTTCGACTGTCGAACAGCTCTTACTGTCAAGAGGTTCTTCCTAATGTTGACACAGAATCTCTTTTATTGTAGTTTGAATCCATTATTCCGGCTCCTATTCTCTGGAGCAGCAGAAAACAAGCTTGTTCCATCCTCAGTGTGACACCCCTTCAAATATTTAAACACGGCTATCATATCACCTCTCAGCCTTCTCTTCTCCAGGCTAAACATCCCCAGCTCCCTAAGTCTCCCCTCATAAGGCTTTATGGTTTGCAGACCCTTCACCATTTTGGTCATCCTCCTCTGGACATGTTCCAGCTTGTCAAGATCCTTTTTAAATTGTGATGCCCAGAACTGGACACAGTGTTCAAGGGGAAATATGACCAAAGCAGAATAAAGTGGCACTATTACTTCCCTCAATTTAGACACTACACCATTAATTCAGCCTATAATCGCATTGGCTTTTCTAGCTGCCACTTCATACTGCTGACTCTTGATTGTGTTCCACTAAGACTCCTAGATCTCTTTCTCATGCACTGCTGTCATGTTAGGTTTCACCTATCCTATATGGGTCAGAATCCTCTATCGTGGCTTATGTTACATAACTTTACATGTACTTAGCTACTTAACAGAGAAAAAAATGTGTTACTGAATTGGAAAGACGTGTAACAGGACACCAGCAAGAGTGTCCCAATCTGCATCAAGCTCTGCTGATGTTAATTGTCACTGCCTAGCTGGTGCCCTGATGCACAACAGTGCATATGTGCATTGGTCCTGATGTGAATCAGTCATTTCACTGGCTCCCCTATATAGTAATGTCATGGCAGCCCTTGCTGGATAAAAACATTGTGGAACTGCCGAATTCTAATTCCCACAGACCTAAATTTACTTACAAAGACATAGGTCCAAAAGAGGATATCGGCCTTGACTTTACCTAACTATCGTAATGGAAGTACAATGCTTGTGGTTTTATTTTCCTGTCCTCCTAAGTACTAAGCCAGGGGTAGGCAACCTTTCCCTTTTAAGGGCCGAGGGACTTCAGCTCCCAGAAGCCTCAGCCATGTTGGCCAATAGTCCCATGTTTGCCAATAGCTCCTGGGATTCTGGGAGCTGAAGTCCCTTGGCCCTTAAAGGGGAAAGGTTGCCTACCCCTGTACTGAGCACTCCTTGGCAGTCAATGCAATATTGTTGTTAACTGTCCCTGAGTCGACCTTAATTCATGGTGACCCCATGGATGAGACATCTCTATTCCCCCCTATGCTCCACTGCTCTGCTCAGGTCCTGCAAACTCAAACCCGTGATCTCCCTGACTGAGTCTAGCCATCTGGCATGTAATATTCTTTTTTTATTGTCATAATAATAATAATAATTTTTATTTATATCCCGCCCCTCTGCCAGG